GGCGGTCCCTCAGAGTCCACAATGCGTAAAGACTTGGTGAGCCATGCCGTTGTGGTGATGCGGAATATTATCAGTCCAGGTGATACTATGTATATTCCTTCACCCTCGATCCTAAAGCAGCCGCTTACGGTCGCTTCTACGCTGATGGGATCACAGGCGCCGGGATCCAGATCGACCCCAGCCGCACGTCTCCCCTGGTCCAGCCGAGCGCTGAGCGTGGGGGACGGCGCGCAGACGGTGTTGAGGGGCGGCCGTTGGTCAGCCACGTAGGAGGTAACGCCAAAAGCCCCGGGCTGGGGTAATCTTTTGCATAACTCCTTTCGCTGGACTAAACGCTACTCCAAAAGACCTCAACCGGACCCCAAGGCTCCTTCCCCAGACCCTGGTACCACAAACTTCTGTTTTGCTAACCGGGTGAAGGGGGACAGCCGCGTTCCATGGTCATTCTCATCGACCCATTCTGAGACTATCCAACATGCCCTGAGGGCAGAGTTGCGACCCATCAATTTCCTAGAATTTGTGGGCGGCACACTGGAGCGCGTTCTTGTGCGCGCCCAGGATTCTGAGACCTCAGACGCAGAACGCACTCGCCTTCTAGACCAGGCGACACAGTTATTGGTAGGCCACCGCACGGCTATGTGCGATATCCTCCAGCGGGACGCGGTTTTAGATGCGTGTGTTTTCGCCGGCGAACTGAGTCAGGGGGTACGCCACCGCCTCAGTTACGCAGACTGGACATCACCCACCCTCTTTGATGGGGAGATAGCGGGTGCAGTCGCAGAGCTTCGATTGTAAATCAAATGGTCCAAGTCGAATCCGCTAGCCAGTTGGCTGCTGCCAAGGGTAAACGGAGGGCGCCCCAAGCACAGAAAGCACAACGTTCTAAGACTAGCTCCGCTAACCAGAGTCAGCCAGGAGGCAAGCGCTCGTACCCATCCACGGGAGGGAAGGGTAGCGGCGCGCCCCCGGGAAAGAGAGGACCAGGTGGTGGCTCCTCCTCCTCGGGTGGTCGTCAACCCCGGCAGAGCGGGGTAAGCATGTTTGACGCTTACCTCTGCGACTGGGGGGGGTTGCGTTCGGCAAGAGATCAGGCTACAGCTTAGTAACCCCAGTGATCTCCGGGGAGGCTCACCTCACGGTAGAGGAGAACCCCCCCCCCCCCCTCTTACAACCGCCGAACCCATGGCCACAGATCCCTGTCGCACGCAGATTGCGCCGGTGCATTCCGGAGGCAGTGGGTAACCGATCCCTGAACGCTCCAGGTGGTCATACGCGGTTACAGAATACCACTGACATCTCCACCGCCCCTGTCAGTGCCCCCCCCATTGGGGACACTGCCAGGGGATCCCCGCAAGGCGGAAGCAATCAGACAGGAAGTAGACAGTTTGCTAAGAAAGGGTGCCATACACAGAATAGTTCAGCCGGCACTAAGTCCGGGCTTCTACTCAAATGTATTTGTAGTACCAAAATCTACAGGCGGCTGGCGCTCAGTTCTGGATCTAAGCAGACTAAACCAGTATGTGCTTCTCGATCAGTTCCGCATGGAGACACCATCCAGTGTCCTACTCTCCATCCACCGGCTCGACTGGCTAGCCTCTTTAGACTTATGCGACACTTACATTATGTACCTGCACATACCCATGCACCCAGCGAGTTGCCCACTCCTTCGTATTTGAATTTCGGGTGCTCCCCTTCGAGTTATCCACAACGTGTTCACCAGAATGATGAAACAGGTACAAATGTAGTACTGCTGCTCCACCAAATGTTGGTACACATCAATTCGTACCTAGACGACTGGTTGATACACAACCCAGACAAGGGGTTATTAGCCAGACATGTAAGGCTTACACAGAATTTACTTCACCAGTTTGGCTTTCCACTAAATCACAAAAAGTCCCATCCCGACCCAACTCAACAGTTGGTGTTTCTGGGCATGGAGTTCGACACCGAAGTAGGCCTGGTTCGCCCATCTCAAGTGCGTTGCCTAGCGCTAAGCAACCTAGCAGAACGCCTAGTCAGCGTTCCTTCAGTGTCCCTCCGAGAACTAATACGGACGATGTCCGAAAACGGGGACTTATGTTTTGACCTCCGTGTGTGCGTGCGTGCGTCTGGACCTGTATCTTAAAAATGCCTGGACCAATCACAATAAAACTTCACACATACATCATACATGATATCATACATATGCACGTCAATTTGTTTCACGATCTG